TGACCTTACTGGAAATATCCAGGCAGTATCTTCAGGTGCCTAAGAAAATGGATTACTAACCTAGTAGTAAGAAATTCTGAAAACTGAGACTGATTTAATAAAGAAGATCACTCTCATCTTTAGTGTGCTTGTACCAGCCACAAAATAATGGTGAAATAAGCAGACTAACTGTGTAAGAAGCAATTTGGAATCTTCTTTTGCTCTGTATTTATGCAGTACCCAGCATAAAGGTCTAGTCCACAGCCAGGTACGGATTCCTAGAATAAATTCAGTTGCCAAATGTAAGCAGAAAAGACAAGCTTTAAGAGAGCAAAATATCATTACTAAATTAGAAACACTGTACTTCAGTTTTCATTTCAAGGCCACATTTTGGAGATGCAATGACCTATTTTAGACAAACTTCATGCAGTACTACTTCATGGCTATGGGTAACAGCCACTATGGAAAGCATGAACAAAAAGCTAAGACAAGTTTCCTAGCTAGTGCACACGCGTTAACAAAAAGGCCTGAATGAAGTACTCTCAGATCTTCAACCAAAAATCTGAAGGGGGGGGTGTGGGAGGAAAGGTTTTGTGAAAAATCAAGGAGTATATGCAGGGTGAGTGGAGGAACAAGAATTAAGAGACTTCACAGAACTCAAAGTGTGTAGATGGTATTGTGCTTGGGAGAACTGAAGCACTGTCCCAGGAAGGAAGAATTTAATCTCGAGAGCAGTTCTGATATGTGCATCTTTTAAGCTCAAAATTAGGGCGTAAAATGACTACAAAGACTTCTGAAGTTTGAGAAGTCTACAGGAACCAGCAGTTCTGTTCACTCAATAGAATTACATCCTGAAACAGGAATAGGCCAGGACATAATATAGGCTGATGTATTTAAACTACTAATTACGTCCAAGTTTTAGGAAGCAACTAAAACTGCAGGCCAAAAGAAGCAACGCCGTGCCCCATTTGTTTAAAATCAAAGGCTGCTTTAGTGTTTTCAAAGGCAGGTTCGTTGCTGCAATAAACAAGGGATGTCACTTCAAGGTTAGTATTGCTTCGCAGCAGGGCTCTTCCCTCTCTACTCAATTTTCTAACCTTGTTAGCTATAGCTGTTAAGAGAAAAGTAGTAGTAGGTGAAAAAATGGTGTAACACCTTGAGATGCTCTCAGGAGCACTAATGTGAACAATATTCAGGCAAAAACATAATTCAAGTGAACAGGAGGAACAAATGCATTATGAGAGAAAATTTCTGCTTACTTGTAGGAACTTAACAGTGCAAATAGCCTAAGACCCAGGAAATCAAGACTTCCAATTTTTATGGCATGACAAAAAAGCAGAAAGGAAACAAGATCAAGCCCAAAAATTAACCACTGCATAGTCACAGACAAGTTTCAACAAACTCCAAAATTCTTCAACATACCACTTTTTTTAACAAGTTTTAGTATTTAGCTTGAGTTTCAACTCCAAATTCCCTCTTCAGCTTGCTACTCTTACTAGCACTTCCAATTCCAGATGGAAACAATTGCAGTCACTATTCTAAACACATCCAGAATGTGAAGTCTGACACATCCTCCTGTTATGTTACTCTAAGTGATTTTTAAACAGTTTTTAGCATTTAATAAAAATAAACTACCCTCACTGTACCAGCTTTAAGCACTTCAAGTTAACATGGCCATGCAGTTCAGCCCTTTAACACATCAGTTACCAAGGGACTGGAACCACCTAGAAAACCGAGTCAAAAGGTGAGTTAAAGAGAGATTACTGTGCAATTATTTGGAAAATTAATTAATTAAAAAATACAACGTTGCATGCCTGGTTTAGAGTTCTATATTGCAACAGTTAACATTTTCTTATGCTATGTATTTTTTGTGGTGCAAACAGTCCTCCCTTATGAGGGATGTACTGATCTCATACACAATACCCTGTATTCACAACTTGAGAACTATGACCTTACAGGAAGGTATGCACCCAGAAGAGAGAGGATAAGGAACACAATAGGGAGAAACAGCAAAACCCCTGTATCAGTCACATTTTCAGAGGTGGTAAAAAAGAGAAAGCTTCCACCTGTCTTTACACCTCAAAAACTATTTCTATTTTAGCGTAACTAAAAATCTTAATTCTCCAGTGGGTCTTTTACATTTTGGACTTCATCAGAAGAGCTGCCTTGGAGCCTGCTACCTTTGATACCATCAGGTAACAGATGTTCGACTGTTTCAGCTCTGCCAACTTTAACTGGAACAATGAAATAGAAGGTCTTCCTGTGTAAAGCTTCAAAGCACCCACAAGTAACAATGCTATTCTGATTCTGTGAAAGATACAACAGTTTCAGAACAGGGCAGCCTTTTTCGCTCAACTAAAACCTTCAGCGAATATTCCAAATCTGCCTCATTGTGTTATTTTCATTTTTGGACATTATTCAAAGCGCTTACTCTGCTTGTTTCATGTTTAGGCTTTGTTACAGTTCTAACAAGCAGCAAGTAGAATATATTTCCAATGTCATGGTCTTGTTAGTAAAATGGTAGTTTTCACCCAGAAACAGTTTAAAGACCTAAAGAAATCATCTGGAAGAAAATCTTGCCGTGTAAAGGAACCAAGACAGCATCAGTCTAGGTTTTCTAGAAACCTACTCCAGATTTTCCTCTCTTTATGCTTAACTGAAAATTACACCATTTCCTTACTACCACACTGTCAGTTTGCACCATCGGGAAAGCCTGCCATGACCAGCAAGCACAGAATTGAAAGCAACCCTAAAGATTTCATTGAGGAAAATGTCTTCACTCAACAAGGTTTGTAAAGAGCATCACTGTGAAATGGCAAGTAAAAACCAGTTAAGGAATCCCCAAAAGCTATAAAACCCCCCAGTCCCTAGTGCATTTTATTGTTATCCAGGCACCTCAACCCTGTGTGAGTACGCTACATATCCTAACGCTCTTTACAGTGGCCACTGATTCTTTTGAAGTACCTGCCCACTGGCAGAACCAAGCCAGTGGAATACAAAATTTTTAAAAAATTTACTTTTTTTTTTTTTTTTTTTTACAAGAAAAGCATGATGTCAACGTTGCTAATGAGACTAGAGGAATAATTGGAAATTACTATCTGGCTATTCCATTTATTTCCTTTGGAAATTTTATGAACATAGTTCTAAGTTTATGTAAGTTCACAGAGCTGAGAACAGTTAGAAGCAGCATTCAAGAAAAGAAAAACTACAAAATTAAACTTTCCTAGTGAGTATTGAGGGAAATTAGGAATGAAGAAGAGAGAAAAAAGTTACAGAAATAAAAATAAGGCTCCTAGAAGCTTTTTTTTTTTTTAACATGCATTTATCAATTTTCTTGTCATACAAGTTATTTTACCAGCTGATGATTCCCAGGCCTGCAATGAAAACCTCACAGGAACATAGAGGTGGAAAGCTGGTAGCTCATTTTGAGAGCACTTTTCCCTCACAATGAAATATATAAAGGTACCCATAATAAGCAACATTTACCCCTTGATCACTGTATGTTTATATTTTGTCTCAATTGAAAAGATCAGTATGAAAAAGAAAACCTTTATGCATATTCAGTATGTTGACCATTTTGGTTTTGTCAAGTAATAAAATTCTTCAGCCACATTCAGTACACAGCCACATGGGAATTAGTGTCTTATTAATGACACAACTCTTCTTTTTGTTGTTGTGGCTATGTCCTTCCAGGCTGCCTCATAACTGGTAAGTCAAAACAGGGGTGCCAAAACACTTTTATGGAGTAAAAAAAAGAAAAAAGTGTAGATCTTTAATCATAAAAGAAACATGTTAAATACAGAAGGTCCCAAAGATGCAGACAACTGCATCGGTTTCTCATTTCCAGACAGCTAGCTCTCTACTGCTGTTTAGAAGAGGCACCATTTCACTGAAGGTGAAGCGTGACAGCCCCTTCCCCACAATGTTTTCTGTAAACACCCTGCAGGCAAAGCAGCCCAGTCTTCCAGGAAGGGCTGCAACATACCCAGCTGTAAAGATGGGAGCAAACTACCACAGTGTGTGCAAAGGCACCGCCCCTTGTACTCTAAGGGCTCACATTTCTACATCTGACTAGAAGCACTTCCAAAGGACTACACTCTCATCCAGTATAAATCCACTGCCAGTTCATGAAACTACAACTAATGTTTTAGGTCTACTGCAAAAAAACCCATTTTATAACACCAGATGAAAAAATGCTATATAAAATTTAATAAATATGCAACTTTAGAAGGAGTCTTCCTACTGTAAGGTAAGTATCTACTGTTTGTCAGTTTTCAGATTTGATGCCAAGGTGTTGGCTGAATTTATCAAACCAAATGTGATGCCAACTGATTTGATGCCAACACCTTAGATCTAATGACACAGAAATGTGCATCTCGAACTGACTGCTTCTTAAAAGCGTTCTGTGGAATTTACACTTCCATACAACTTTTGTTAAATAATTTACCTTGGAATAAACGTGGGGATGCAATTATAACTATTTCTTGGGCACATTATTAAAAATAATAAAACATCAGTTTTACCTTCTCTTATGAGCACATTTGGTTGACCCTTCCTTTCCTAATTCATTTACTCATATTATGAAGACCGAGAAAACCTGAACTTTTTGGTGATCTGAAACACAGCATTACCAACCGTACTGTTGGAGAAAGTGTTAGGTGTGAGCATGTGTGCAAAACAGACAATTTCATAAGCAGTGTGTAAACCCAGCCTTTTCTATCCCATTGTGACTTTGAGTTTGTATACATCTATACTCACATCAATCTTGTCTTATTCGAACCATTAGCTCTGTAAGAAATCTAGTTCATTAAACCAGATTTCCTATATATTTGAAACTAAGAGATACCAGTATTTTCTGTTATTTCTGCACATGCTTATAAAATGGAACCATTCTTACACTCTCTTTTCCCCTCTCCCCCTCATCATCCCTCTGCTGCTTCAAAAGGTCCATCCTTTCGTCGCTCCTTCCCCCTCTCCTCCTCATCCTTTCTTTGCTGGTTCTTGGCCTTCTTGGTCCTTACCTCGCTCATTTTCCCTCTTCTCATCTTCCCTGCGCCAATTCATAGCGTCCACATTCTTTCGTCGTTCTCTCTCATCCTGTCTCCACCGCTTCTTGATATCTTTGTCCTTAACTTGCTCATTTTCTCTCCTCTTCTCATCATCCCTGTGCCATTTTATTGTTTCTGCATTTTTCTGCGGCTCCACGCTTCTTTTGAGATAGTCTTGTCGCCTCCTCCTCTTTTTTAACATATCCCTTTCCCTGGCACGAGCCTGCTTTTCTTTCTGGGAAAGAAAAGCTTTACGGGGCATCATGAGCTGCTGCTGTACCTGTAATAATATCGTATCCATGGAATAATATACTATACATGCACTCAGTCAGGCACCAACAACTCTCATTTGGAGCTGAATACTTCAAATGCTAAGCCAAGATAATTTACTGCTTCTTCTCTTTCCTTCATAACGTTCTGCTAGCTCCATATTAGACAATGACAGGCAAGGTGTTATGTTCAGCTCCAGGCACAACACCTAACCAGCACCTCTGCACCTGGCGCGCATGCAAAGTCAACCCCCTAAAATCCCGGGCCTAAGCAGAATGATTTCTTCCCTCCCCCTTACAACTCTTCCCACAGAGTTTTTAGCAGCAGCTTGGCATTGCTGCATCCAGTTGAAGGAACAGGCTGATAGGAGAGTTGTGAAGGAAACTTGGGAGTGTTTCAAACCTTAGTTTCTTCTCTTACTGGAGATCTACATTTAATGAAACTTAAACGTTCTCTTTTTATCTTTTCAGACCCCTGTGTATACCAAATTTGATTGAAAATGGCCAACCTTTTTCTTGGCTGGGAAGAGGGAGGGGGGTTTAGGAGACAAGCCACAATCTGAAAATTGTATAAGCTTTGTTTCCTTGGGAAACCTGGCCAAAACATTTAACTGCAGTTAATGAAGTAAGTCCTGACTCATCTACTCAGACTTCCTCCAAGTATGTTATGTCTTGCTAGTCACATGAACAAAGGAAAAAAGAATGTGACTATTTACTTGGGAGTTTCTGCCGACAGCATTCCTGATGAGCGGGGCATTTTGGGTTTGTTGCTTTGTTTTTAAAGAGGTGTCAATGAAAACTACCTTTTAACAAATTGCTTTACTTTTGGTCATTTCTCTGTAGTCATCCAACACCTTCATGTCTTTAAATTTACTAGTGTTAATATTTGCAATTTTGAAATCATGGAGAACAAAACAGACCACAGAAAGAATTTATACTACTACTAATATCCTTTAAATACTCTTCTGTACACATTGAGCAACGTTTCAGAAATGTCAAACTGCAGTTGTGGCCCAGGTTTGGGGTTTTTTGTTTGGTTTTGAATTTTTGTTTAGAAGAGAGTTTTGCAGAGGTCTAATCAAAATGAAAACTGCAGAAAGGACAAAATTACTAGATTAGAATACTTAAGCAAAGCCTAAAACAAAATGAAACAAATGTACTTTTAAAATTTAGCTACCTTATGGAAAGCACTTGTTCCCAGCATGCAATACTCCATCTTTTTCCTACAGAAAAAGCAATGTTTCAAACCCTTATTCTAAAAGCTGTTCCCTTTCCTTACATAACACCCCCACCCCGCACACTTAAACCCACTACTCTAGTTCATTGCCTTTGTTAGGTATGTATCACGATCCCATGGTTTTCATTCCAATAATTCAACCCCAGATTTCTTAATATCCATAACACTACTAAAAGGGAAAGGCTGCAGCAGAATGAAACAGCATAATTAAAAAAATGCATGCAGTTTGGTAACAAGTTAGTACATAAAATTCAGATTACGCTAAAAATTACTTCATTAAAAAGTGTAGGATAGCTCTCTACTAGACAGCCTGGTTTTAAGTATTATAATATTTCTCAATAACAGTTATCATTAAAATCAGAAAGCAATGAGAACCCAGGATCAACATCATCAGTGCAACCCAGACACTGTAAATCTTTAAAATAGTTTTAATTTCTCTTATTGGCTGTGTGCCAGTACTACATTAGTGTTGCTTACTAGAGCAAACTTAACTTACTAACTTTTTAAACATACATTATCTTCATAATTTTATCAGTAACCTGATTTTATTCCAATAACAATAGCATGTTAAAGTAAATCATATTTCATGCAAATGATTCTCCCCCTCTCCCCACCACCCAAGGCAAGTACTGACATTGACAGTAATTTTTAAAAAACTCTTTTGGGACTGATTTTCATATTTTCTTTCATTTGTTTTTTTTTTTTGTTTTCTTGTGGTTCCCCCCCCTTTAGTTTTATCTTTTCACTTGTAATTACAGTGTCCCTCCCTCCCCTCCTTTTACACATATCCCAGCCCACTTTGACAGACCAATTAAGAGACAAATGATAGAAAATATCTTAAGAAAAAACATTTCAGTTGAATTTCAAAACCTAAACATTTTAATTGAGATTCAAACAAGAAATGTCAGATTCCAAGGAATAACTTAAAGGGACATCCAACTTAAAATTACGTATCTTTGAAATATCCTTATCACAAGTCACAGTTTTTGCCCAGTCTGCTTCAGCATGAGAGTACTTAAGCAGTCTTGTAATTTCTCTTGCAGTCAATCATCTTTCACTTTTGCCTCTGTTGGTTTTAATAAACCAAAAGAGGGGGAAAAATTTTAAACCAGGAAAATAATTAATATGCAGTGAAGCTGCCAGACTGATTGAGCTCAAAGCCCCCCACACCCCCAATTTTTCTAGAGTTCAAGTTGGTGTTCCTTTAAGTTCAAAATGTCCAAACATCAGAATTAATAGTCAGAACTATCCTTTCAACTGTTTTTTGCCCATACTTTGCCAAATGAAAATCTTAACTCTTCCCAATCTATTTAGTACATATGATGAGGCATTTACCTCCAAAATTAATGGTGCTTGGGCGTCTCAGACTCATTGGACAAGTTTCATGCAAAAGCCTCCAAAAATAATTCTCCTTCCAGAACGCCCACCTCAGCGATTATATTACACCTACTGTGTGAGGCCAAAGCCCGGACATAGAAGAAGGATCATATCCTGCTGTACAAAACAAAGTGTTAAAGACAAGAGATAAGAAATGTAATAAGGGCAATCTTACATTTATAACGTACGTTTCATTGCGAAGGACTCCGAAGCTAATTATAAACCACATTTACGGTACCTTTACTGACAGGGAGCTACTGTAGAGTGCACTCCAGCAAGTTAACAGTGCTGCAGGAAGTTTTAGCAGGTTTGTGGCTTAAACAACAGATTCCGCTGGGTGCTGCTACCTCAGGAATATCTCGGTGCTCAGATTTCAATTAAATTGACCCAATTCAGAAATCCAGCCGGATACAGAGAGGAATGCTCCTATTCACACTTTGTATAACATTTTGACTGAAGTGCTTAGGACCTCAGTTGACACCTCATCTGAGCTATCAGAACCGGCAGCACAGCTACACCCTGTACAGATGAGGTACACTTAGTAAAATCCCAACAGCACTCCCTTGTACAGCTAATTTTTCCTAGAAGGTTCCCATACAAATACAGTCCCACCTTAAATTACAAGACTATGGGAGATCAAAAGGTGACATGGCTGTCAGCCACAACCATAGGGACACACATTCATTTGGGAAGTATTCAGATTAAGATTTTCAGCTACAATGCTGCTAGTAGGAGGATGTGAAGCAAACCCTTCTGGGTAATGGCATGTAAATGATTATGCTGATACCTCTTCAACTCACATCACTCATGGACAGAAACTCAGTCTTGAACAGACTGGAAACACAAGACATAACATTAGCATCATGAGGTCTGGAACAACCAAATCTGAAGTTTATAAAACCAAAATTTGTTGAGCCATTTATAATTCCTTTTCCAAGTAGTAAAGGTTTTTACTGTTTAAAATTGTTAGACTTTAATCCCTGTTGATTACTCAAAACATCCACAGCTTAAAGTACTGATTGTTTTTCTTCAGCAGAAGATACTAAAATGTTGTAAGAAACTTAAAAAGACAAAATTGTTAAAATACTTCACATTGAGGCAAAACTGAATATTCTATAAGCTTTAACAAGACTACTGGCCATATCTTCAAACAGGTAAGGATGCTGGGTTATTTTGTTTCATAACAGATTATTTTCCAGTTAGAAAGTAGAATTTGTGCCCCTGTATCTCTGTCAAGTGCAGATTGCCCCTCTCCCCCCTGCAATCCTCACTGCAGAAAGCACACTTCTGGATGAGGACAGAGAGCAGATCAGTGACAATCAGCGTATCAGTCTGAAAATACAAATACTGAGCCCAGGGAAGTACTTCATCCCATACTGGGCCTCCCGAAGACTGAGTATTATTTCCCTGCATTGTGTCACTGATGAGAATCACCAAGCATCTGGCATTTTTTCTGACTTTATATAACCCAAAATTCTTTTACTTCAGCCCTTATTTTGCTAGTATTTTAGGTTGAAGAAGTTCTTGGTTTACAGCGCAACATAGTAGCATATATGAGAGCTGACAGCAGCTGTATGTTCCTGGATGAAATGAAACAAGACTGTTAGTTTCTTGATACTGTGCTTTTTATCTCCCTATTCCAACTGCATTTAAAATAAGGTCTACTTTTAATGACTTGCCCAGATAACTGCATTTAATAGCACGCTCTAAAAAGCCAACCATGAAGCAGATTTGCAAAGAAGGCTGTTAGTGCAACATAGAGTGAAATCTCTGAAAATACAAGAAAATTAACCTATGGTTCCCACAGCAATAGAAAAGCAGCCTCCTCACGCATGCAGGTTAAATGATGCTATATAGTATGATGGCGTATAATACTCTATATTCACATGAGGACAACGATGGCCTGTCCCTGCAGCAAGGTGGAAGCTGCAACTCTGGGACCTGACAATTCCAGGACAGCTGAGCAAGGAAGAGCAGTAGGAAGCAGAAAGGTATCTCAGGGAAAAGTGAGCCAATCAAAAATACCAGGAACAGAACCATCAGGGAGAACAGAGTAGTTGGAAGAATGAAAAACTACCTAAAACTTCCTTGAAAAGGTAAGAGATGCAATTAAGCATCTCCCCTCCCTGCACTGAGTGAATGTAGAGTCTACTCCCAACGCATCTATCACTGGCTTACTTGAAGCATTCACTTTCTTCTGTTGGACTCCTCTCTTTCTTCCTTTTTTAAGCCTGGCTGGCCTAGTTTTCAGAGGGCTGTGCACCCCCATCTCCTGTGAACGTAATGAGATTTGCAGTTTAACAGCACATCTGAAATGCCAGACATCTGAAGGCTCATTTTTCAAGCCCACTATAATCCTAGGATGGAGGCTGTTTTGTAACAGCACACACTCCATTCTCATGGCAACATTTTAAACAGCGAGCACCTCCTCGGCCTTATCAGCTCAACCATCTGCAACACCAAGCTTCTGCCCATGTAACATGATGGTCTCCAGCTAACTTCTGCCTAACAAACACCTCTAACTCCAACTAGGTAATTCTGCATGCACAGCTGCTGTGTTAGACCCAGCACTTAAATTCAACCTTAAACTGGCATATCAGAGACCACAATGCCCTAGGCTCTTTAACCTGTATCTATATCCAAAGTCCTTTAACTTGAGGCTATATCCAAAACAGGACTAGGCACTAGAAAAATACAAAGTGAACAGAAAACCCAAATCAACTCCCCTGGAAAAACCTGACATGTTTTAAAACTGTGATTATTGGAATTGAAGGAAATCAGCAAATGTATTTTGCTATCTCATCAAAGCATCCTAAAACTTGTGCAGCACTGTGCACATGAAATCACCCCAACTCACCCTCACAGTCAATTTCTTAAAAGTCCCTTTGTCAAAAAAAGAATTTAACAATGTAGAAAAATCACTTCAGAGATTTAATCAGCTACCTTCAAAAAAAATGTCAAGTTCTATGTCAAACAAAAAGGACCATTTCACACCACTTCTCTGGGCATCATGTGTAAATACTCCTTCAAGGGGAGGAGTTAAGTCCATCTAAAATGTGGTACTAAAAAAAAGCCGACTTAAAATCCTTTGGAGGGAAGTCTTAGGCTAAAAACCTTAACACGCCATTTCAGTGGTTATATGCAACTTTCAGCAAGGGCTTATGAAACTGTTTTATCTCTTTTCTTTTGGAGCTTACTGTCTAGCTTCAGCTTGGCAACTCTTGCACTAAGAACTCCAACTTCCCATCGGAGGAAAAACTTCTACGGAAGACAGGTCTAGTGAAAGGAATCAGTAGAGCTGGTATGTCTTACTTTCCATTCGTATTTTATTTAAAGGTTAAAAAAATATCTTCTGCAGTCCAGCAGACAGGGATCTTCTAAGTCATTCACACACTTCTCATTCTTGCTCAATTTCTGGAATTTTCCACTGGTGCCAGAAGCTCCATCTGGTGGGTGTGTACACTAACTGCAAAACTGAAAGGCAATTAACTATTTCCTTATCAACTTTTGTTTAGGAGTAAAAGTTCTGTACGCTGTGTAATTTCTATGCCCCAATATAAAATACAAAATGGCCAAATTTCGATTGCTCTGGGAACCACACCACCTTATTTCTTTTCTTGCTGAATAATCTGCTACCTTACACTCTGCTGAGAATTTCTGTTGGTTTGATGACATAGGCTGAAGCATGTCATAGAATGCTGTTAGCCAAGTTTGTACGTTTTCTAAAGAAGGATCTTTTGAACACACATGATAAAAACCACATCAATTCTCGCAATCTCTACTGCATTCTGAAAAGCAGTTTTAAATTGCATCCATTCTCTAGGGCACGCTATACTTCAGTGTATAGGAAATTTTAAATTAGAGGCACTAGCAGCTCAAGAAGTAGGCTTACACACCTACTGCCATCTTAAGTAGTATCTTTTGTGACTGTTCAAGATCACAAAAGATGCTTATATGCATCCACATATGTGCAGTGAAATCAATATGTAATATATATACTCAATATGATAGCCTCCCTTGTTTAGGGCTATTTCTTAAAGATTTCAGTTTGAAATGTAATAAAGCGTGCACATCTTGCTGAAATTGAAATCGAGACTGGAGATCATTGAAGCACAAAGGATATTATTTGCTTACACCATGATATCCACACTGCAGTGATCAGGAAAAAAGGCTGCATGAATACGCTCTACAATTCCAAAATAATCCTCATCTAGATTGTAGCTAAGCATGAACAATCCCAGAATAAAAATTATGTTGGAAATATAAGCATGTTTCTTGAATTATCAGCCACCATGTAAATTAAAACCAAAAATAATCATCCTGAAATTTTCAATCCAAAACTCACAAAAACATTTGGATAATTAAACAAAGCGGCACAGAAGTCTCTGTAAAATGTGCAAGAACACAGCATGTAATCAATATACACATAATTTCTGATTGGATTACACTGACTGTGAAACTGCAATTGGATTAGACTGGAGCGAAAACGGTAGTTCTGTCTTCTTCATGTCATCTTTTCCTGACATCACTGTGCCAGCAGCCAGAGCAGAGACTTGATCCAACTGGAATGGACTTTGTGAGGCAGAGCAGTTCCTTTGCTCACCCAAGCAGCAGTGCTAGGACTGGTATGAGTAAGGTGGCAGGAAGCGTGGCTCATACCACCCCTTCCAGTGGCAGCAGACACAGGGATATTTAAAGCCATAGGGGAAACTGCCTCCCTTAGTGTGTCCTAACTAGTAAAATGCACTGCTTGCATGCTGGTCTAAGTGGCAGAACAAATCAACAAAACAAAAGAGAGCATACAAACACTTTTACAAGCTCATCCAAAACCCTGCCAATACATGCTTTCTCAGATAGTTAGATATTGAAGGGATCCCTCGCCAACTGGCTAGCATCTGAGCATTTAAAGTGTAAAAACAGTCGGTAAAGTAGGCTGATGCTAATTGTTTTTCCTTTGCCTTACCACTTCACACATGCTATCCACAAATGCTGGCATCACACAATCGGGTAAAGTCTGTAAACAAGAGCTTAAAATCAGTCTTACCACTTCACATTTCTTACCTCTTTCC